GCGTAAGAGATAGATGACTGGGGTGGGCAGTGGGAGGTGCCAGCGGTATTGGCGCAGAGGCTACTGGGACAGCTGGACTGACGTCGTTTTCAGTAGTATCCATTTCTTCGTCAGACTGCAGCAATTCAGGCGACGGAGAGCGAGAAGGTGGGGAAATAAGTGACGGTGGATGGATCAATTTCTTCTTCGTCTGACTTCCAGTGTCCATTTTTGCTTTCCTCTTTTGCTCCCTCCTCCGCCTTTTTCGCGCCCAACTAACCATTTTCTCTGGCGCTACATCGTAAGACCATTCTCTATCAAATTCTTCGGATGCTAGTAGTAAATCTGTGGCAATTGGTCCTGATCTATTCGCCAAGTTGGCATATTCATGTGCCCGTTGGTACAGATTCTGAATGACTGGAAAGAATGAAAAATAGTATTCTTGAGGTCATGCGGCAACTCACAATTCGTAATCTCCATCTCAAGAACATACACTGCTTCCGCCTTTGCGCTACTAAAGCCTACGTCTCTCAACTCACTCGCAACCAGCCTTTGCACCGCCTGGCTGGCTTCTCGATCTGTCACTGTAGCTTGTACAGGTGAGGATGGACGTAGGGATCCGGTTCCTGTTGGCTTTCGTGGAGGGGATGTAGTCACGGCAGTATTGAGACCTGTTAATTGAGGGACACCACCAAAAGAATATGAACTGTTGTAGCTGTTGAAAAGAGAAGCCAATTGTGCATTAGGTGTGTATGTGGCGTTGGGTGTGTATGTTGCAGTAGGAGCATACTGCGTTGGAGTATAATATGCTGAAGTAGTGGACGTCTGTGGAACGGACATCGAAGAGAAGATTGAACATGCACGCCATGTAAGCGCCTAGGTCGGCGCCATTTGGGCGCGAATTCTCTGTTTCGAATCCCACAGTGTGTATTTTACACAACAATTTGACAATAATCTTCTTTCCATCCGCTTCTTCTAAATTACGCTAGCTTGAGTGGAATTTGAGGGATCTACTGATCTAGTCCGGTCCTGTAAAAGTTCATGTACAAAGTCTTGCATCGACGAACTTCCAAGTACTTCTGAGAAACGGGGGCATCGATTCAGCCTTGACCATTATCGAATTCCGTACGCGCGGCTGATTAAAGAACTGATCAACAGCCCTTGTATTTTTCTATAAAATTGGTGAAATGCCAATCCGGGGAGACTCGAGTAGTACTAAGTATATGTACAAAGCACAAACTGTGACTTTATGCGATCAACTACTGGCAGGTTTTTAGTTACCGATTCCAGGAGCCTACTTTACTTCCAGGGCTTGTCCAGGGCCGTTCATTTCTCAATTCGCTACTGGCAAAGTCGGACTTTCAACGCGTTGGAAGGTCTTCGGTACCTAACAGGTTACCCCCTCGTCTCCCTGATCTTCGTTCATTCCATCACTGATCCACAAGATCAGCGCAGTGGGCGACCGAACTCAAACTTCTCGCGATCCAGGTGCTTCTGTTTCTCTAAACTTCGGGAAATCCGGAACCATTGAATAGTTCGATGAACGAGCAGTTGACGCAGATCCAACCAATTAGTGGGACGCCCTGTAACTCAAGGTCACCATGGGGCAATGCGCTAACCGCTTAACCGCAACACCTTTCATTCAACTTCCGTCTAAGTACTTGATATCCTCAAGGCAAAATGATGCATTGCACTGCATAAACCGCTCTACACTGTGTTTAGACTGCCCGGAGACTACCTTGAACCGCAGCGGCACGTTCCTCTCTGATGGAATGAAATCCATCATACATTTTCGCATAAAATGTCACTGCCAAACCCGCTTTCTGACGATGTAACCATTCAAATTTGGAGGCAGTCTTCTAGTAGCCGACCGCGACTCTGAATAGACGCACATGTACTCGGGACTCATCTGCTCGAGGAATATAAAGGAACACATAATGTGCCGCACCTCCCGAAATACAGCTCTCCGGGGCTCATCTCATCACAGAACATTCTGAAAATGAAGTCACTATCTTCCGTTGTCTTTTTATCCGCTATACTTTTCATTCAAGGTTTACATTTCTCCTGCAAAAAAAAAGGGTTAATCTGAAACCGTGGTTTCATAGGATGCCACACTGCTCCGAACCCAAACCCTCAGTTTACATACGTCGCATTCGGTTTCGATGGGGAAGTACCCGCGCCTATGAACCCAGATCCTTCCGCGACGGAGTGGGTCGTACCCATTGGCACGGACGCAGCAGGAGACGAGACAACTTATTTATTCAACGAGGTCGCGACTCTGGTGACAGATGGGCCCAGCGGAACGATAACAACGCACACAACTGAGACAGGTATGACTTTTTCCTCTCCCTTTCCATCTGAAGAGATGAATCCAACTTGCACTTGCTCAGGAACATTGGTCGCGTCCGCGTCAGGTTTCACTTTGTCGATAATCTCGACCGATATCCAGGGTCTGAAAGGGGCGGAAGGAGAGTGCCACTACACAGCAGCTGATAGTGGCGTATGCGTGCAGAATTTGCACGGTGAAGGTGATCTGTTGACCCTCACTTTCCAAGGCCCTGCGGCAACACATACCCTTCCAATTCTGACTACTTCCGCCGCGATTATCGCTACGCCCTGAGTACGGAAGTGGACGTACTGCAGTGGGACGACAATGGCTTGTAGTACGGTAACAAAGACTAGCGGATGAAGTAGTGGTGAATTTTTCGCCAGTTTCCGCGCTAATACGCACGTAAAATAGGTGATTAAAACCGAGTATCAATTTTTTTTCTCCGTGATGTAGTATAGTAAACCTGTAACAGAAATTAGTGCAGAATGGAGAAGTGGCTTGAACTCTGCTCACGAAAACACGCAATTCACCGTGCCCGACACACAACTTCCCCATCTAGTTTCATTTGCAGTGCTTCCCTTGCCTCTAACCACTGGTATTCCCGATTTTTCGTCTTCACTATCGCAATTTCCCCCATGCCCAAAGGAGGAACTGAACCTGCTCTTCTCCCGCTACACATTCTCCTTATTTCTCCCAAGTTCATGAATACCCTCTTACTTGGCTTGCTAACCAGTTCCATGTCCCTCAATACGGGTAAATCGTCTCGGTACTTGAGGTCAGCCCAGATCCGTCGCTGAGGTTCTGGGGTATCATTGAATGATACAGGATCAGGAGAAACGAGGGTTCCTCTGGTAAGGTTGGATATGAAGCCAGCACGAAGAAGGATGGAAAGGATTCCTAAATTTTGTGTGTTGTGTTCGACGGCAATCTTGGCATGACGAGCGCGATAGGCATTTTGAATACGCGCACAAAGGTCATGGGGAAGCATAGCTACTAGTTGTGAGCGTTGAGCGGAATGGTTAAAAGGTTGAATGCAGACCTTTGGTGGTAGAGGTAGAGCAAGCAAAATATTTGCCGCCCGGCAGTTCGTAGTCCCGCCTCTCCGTCACTGCGCCGCATTGCGACACGATTTGATTCTTCCCCTCATCGTCCTCCAGCAGGATGTCTCTTACGGCTCAAGGCCCAGATGCTCACAATGATTTATTTAAATCAAATAAGTCTTTGTCCGAGAAGAATAGCAGTTTTCTTCGGGACTCGGATATTCCGGAACATCTCAGACGGTCTACCCATCGTCTCCAATTTCCGCCTTCCTACGCACTAGTCGGCGTATATCGTTTGTGCACAGATAAAAATCTATACACCCCTGCTTGGGAAAAGTGCCAACATGGGACAGTCAGAGGCTCGGCTGTCGGTCTAGTCTGGGTCAGTCGATATTGTCTTGAATGAAACTCTTGTTAAACGGAATCCAGGCCTTCTTCACGTTTGGAATTCAACGAAAGCTTATTGAAGTTTTTCTTTCAAAGTCGGGAAATTCGAGAATCATGCACATGACCAACTCTTACCAGTCTTTTTAGTTCCCCTAGAGTTACTGGTCTTGCGAAGGATACCATCTTTGGTTATCCTATTCCTTTCAACGTTCACACCTGTGCGTCTAATGCTCTTCCCATACTTGACTAGCTTTTACGTGTCTTCCAGATGCTGCCGCGCTTCTCGTCGGCCAACAGGTAACCTATATCCTGCGCTTCTTCCTTTCCCGAAACATACGAATTGCACGGGATCGTGCTTGGAATCACACTGTTGTCTCGAGAGGCAAGGGAGAAGCTTTCTGGCAGCCTTACGTTGAGGAATGGGATAACCCTCCTAAAGATGTCGGCCCAGCTAATTGGTACGAGAAGGCGTTTAGTGGGTGGTTTATGTTCGTATTCAAGAGAAGTCAGTCCCGTTTCTCCCCTTCGCCGAATTTATCTAAATTACACTCAGTCCTCCTCCTACCATTCAATTTTTACCCCATTGTCGGGATTCTTATTTCGGCCTGGTTCAAGGGCATGGCCACCGCTAGAATGCTACATCGACGGGTAAGTACCCGTTCAACCTTCTAGTCTCCCGCCTTTGATCTACGACGCGGCTTTTTCTCCCTTCCGTTTTGTGTAGTATTTTGAAGCGAAAAAGATGACCCCAGCCGAGGTAGCAGTATTCATGGAGGAACACAAATGGGATTATCGAAGTACGTGCCTACTCTACTGATACGATTTTATTCATTCTTTACCTCTTCAGCTTTTGGATTCACCGCCGCGCTCCTCGAAGGGCTACCTATAATTGGCTTGGTGTTCACCATATCAAACAGGGTCGGAGCAGCAATGTGGGCTTTCGGTGAGTCTTACACTCCTTATGGATAGTTTCTTTCTATTCGACGTATTGAACGCGCAAGGTTACGTGTTGAATCTTTCCGTTTTCTATAATTATGTCCTTTTCTCTCGTACAGTATCCTGAACTAATACTCGACGTAGACCTAGAAAAAAGACAGCATTACATTGCCGAGAGGAAGAGGGCCTTATGAGTCCTGGAATTGGATCGGCCACTGCGACGTTGCCTCCGTCTTGGCACTTACTGTAGTAGTATAGATGTACCATTATTTAATAGGGCTATTTCAAATAGAATCAGATACTACAATGTGATTGTTGCATACTGTTGATCCAATGTGGTGTAGTGGCTAACATTGCTGTCTTTCAAATTATCCTTGGCACAGCAGCCCGGGGTTCGATTCCCCGCATTGGAATGTCGAAGTGAAAAATGAGGCCTTGAGGGTTTCTTTTTTTTTGTTTTCACGCTACATTTACATTGTCGATTATGCTCTTCGTTGAAATGAATTCGGTTCCTATTGCTAACTGAGGTAATTAGACTCGGAGGTTATCTGCAACTTTGCTACAAACGACTCTACAGTTTCCAAATCAGAAGTTTGCAAGAATCCTGCAAATAACCTTTACTAAAGAAATAGTGAGAAACTTTTGAATGAGAGTACCTAACCGGATATGCAGTCAATTGGAGTAAGACCGATAGCCGGGCCCATCAAGTTGATAAATAGTGACGTTCAGCAGCTAGCGTTTGAGTGATTTACACGTTTCAACTCTTACGCATGACATCCTCTCTGCTCTCCCAGACCTATACATTCGATCCCCGGCCATATTATCCACTCGTGTCGACCGTGAAACGATACTGGAGACCCATCTTCGAAGAACCTGATGGCCTCACCCTTGTTTTCGCTCATGCTGCTGGCTTTCATAAAGAAATTTGGGAGCCTACCATAGATGATTTATTACAGATCATTGACCAAGCGTACTCGATGGATGCAGGGTCGAAAACAAAAATTCGAATCCGAGAGTTATGGACAATCGACGCGCCCAACTGCGGAGATGCAGCGTTGCTGAATGAGGAAATGCTCAAGTGGGGGTATGAAGTCTGTGAGTCTGTAATATTCATTGTAAAAATTTTCACCGACTCTGAAACGCCCTGTTCATCCAGTCCCGTTCCAAGAATACGCTCGAAGCATACATGCCTTCTTGACTGGACAAGGTCGGACCCACACAGGCTACAATTTACATACTTCCTCAATCGTCCCCAATACTGATTTCACATCCCGCAAGCTGGTTGGCATTGGACATTCCATGGGCGGAAGCTCATTCCTTCTCTCACTAGATTTTTTTTCACCCATTGAGCGTCTATTTACTTCGATCATTCTTATTGAGCCTGTGGCTATAAATAAGCAAGCGACACTCTCCATGACAGATATTTTTTCCAAAGCCGCTCGATCAAGGAAAGATAGATGGCCTAGCCGCGAAGACGCTCATAATATGATCAGGGCAAGTGCAAGGCTAGGAAAATATTGGGATGAAAGGGTTCTAAGGATATATGTAGTCAGCTCTGATCAATTTTCGTTCAAGTTGAACAAGCGACGATATTTTGTTACAGAATCAAGGCCTACGCCCTCTGCCAACATTGGAATATCCCGACCTTAAAGATGGAGTGACTCTGAAATGTACCCGAAAACAGGAAACGGCATGCTTGTATCGAGCCATGGAAACTTTTCGCAGAATTAACTTTCCATTTGACAGGCCATCTACTTGGGGCTAAGCATAGGCTCCAGCGTCGTCTTTCGAGGTATCTCCACTTATGCGTCCCGCGTGCGCATCCATCTCGTCTACGGTAAAGTAGACGATGTACTGTGAGTAGTTGATCCAGTTTATCTTCGTGAGAAGAGAGGTTCAATACCAATCTGTATCTTTCAGCCCATTGGCAACAAAATCCGAGATGGCTCAAAAAGATTCCCGTGGGCAACCGAATCTTGCAAGTTTCGGTTTCATGGAAGGTGCAGGTCACTATGTACGCTATCTTTCTTCTCTTCGACCCGGAAAATAATCCATGCTCATTTGTGATGCCTATTTTCTTCTAATAAAGGCTCCCCATAGTCATCCTCGAGAGCTCGCAGAGAGGATCCTACAAATGCTAGACTCGGATGTAGAATCTCAAAACCTTGGAACAAAGTTATAAGTTGTTGAGTGTTGGATACAATGAATATCTTTCGTGCAGATATAAGACATAAGCAGACATAAGACAACACTGCAACCGGTAATCTCTTTCCGCATCAAGAGAGCAAACTCCAGTGATTTCTTCTCGAAAAGGAAAGTATCAAAGCTGATTGTATCGAGAAATTACCAAGGCTCTGCAATTAAAAAGAAGATACGGTAACAGTCCGTAAAAAAAATGTTCGAGCATAGATTTCAAAGAGAGGTCCAAATTTCGGGGGCTTCCTTTAAAGCACACTTATTTCGAGTTCAATCAGCTATGACCGGCCATCCCGACGAGAAATCGAGATAGTTAATGCCTACAGGCACAAGTAAAGCATTAGTAAAGCTTATTCGCTTTCTTTATTTTTGCAAGCCATACCTAGGTACGATGGCCCACCGGGCGGGTCGTTCTTTTTAACATAATGATACACAATTACATCCCGTCCACTGACGGGATCAGCGAAGATACTCTGACCTGGGTTTCGCGATACAAAAATTAGCAAATTCCAATACAGTACTTGTGAGAACTATGCGACAAACCTCCTGGCGCATATACATTGTCATGCGATTTGAGAAGAATAGTACCAACGGTGGTGTTTAAGGTGAGGTCGTTCCCAGATTCATCATAGAAAGGTCCCTGTACATCTTTTCCACGTCCCATGATTACCTTGTACTCTTTGTTAGGAAGAGGGCGCCTTTTATTCTTTATTCAAAGTGTAGAGTCAATAAACCCGTTTTTGCAAAGTGATGATAGATAGACCTACCCCGATAAGAGGCGTAATGCCATCCGAAAAGAAGAAATAGTAGTACGGTTGACTGGAGGGTTTGTATAAGAAACCACCCTCGGCGGGTCGAGATTGATGACCAGCGATTTTGATTCCTGGAAGCTACATAAATAGACGTGACTGGTCAGAATTGCATGGATGAATGACTTCGACATACCTGTGTATGGTTCGTAAGACCAGGCCCGATCCCGATTTGGAACATTCCTTGCTGGTAAGAACCGAACGACAGACGGAGGGTGCCATTATCATTGAAGATGTTCCCGTCAACTGCGTCGAGACAATTTCAGGTATAGAAGAAATAAAGGAAGAAGAATGTCCTCACTAGCATTGTAGGATTCATTATGACCGCTGGCTGACCTAATAACCTCTCCCAGATCTGTCCAGTTTCCAGGATTCATGGTCGGACTAGTTGCGACGCCAATAGACGAGTTCTGACTGCCCCCTGTAGATACTGAGTAGTACATGGTGTAGAGTCCGTCGATGAAATTGACATCTGGAGCCCAGATGCTACAGTTTCCAGGTAGGTTGATTTTGGAGCAGTTTGGTAGAGCTGATCCAATGCTTGTCCATGGGCTACATTTGGTCAATGTTCAAGTTAATGCCCCAAGGATTTAATAATTGCCGTACCCTGTCAAGGATGTGCTCGTGGAGATGTTGATGTTGTCGCCAGTGGAAAAGACAAAGTATTTCTGCCTTCTGAGTCAATATGTGCGCTTGTAAAGAGCGTACCGAACGTACTTTGAGGTCCTTGTTGTACCAAATCGCAGGATCACGGAGGGTAACATTATCTGGTATGTCAATTCAGAGAACGGCGGGGCGCGCATTGCTCTGGTATTACTTACCACTGCCCGGAATAGGATTGGGGGTTGCTGCAACGACGGAGGAGAGAATGCCTAAGACAGCCAATTGTTGAAGTTGCGCGATCCACTTCATGACGAATGATGCCAGAGAGGGCCCGCGAACCCTTGCACTTTTATACCGGGAAGTCGGGTTTCATAAAATAGTAATACCCACCAGGAGCACGGAGGAAAGTATTTGGTACGGCAATTCAGGCCAACCATGATCCCGTAAACCTGTTGAGCAGTGACTGAGTGGTGGAGCTCGAGTGGTGTCGGTCTGCAGGCATCGAACTGCCACTGTAAAGTTTGATTTTCCGCTGAAACAATTTCCCGCTCGGGGTTACTGTATTCGGAACAACTGGAAGCAGCGATGTAGGAAGGAATTTCACTTCTGTTACGCTGCTCAGTCCAAAGCGATCAAGAGTCAACATATAGAGATCCAACATTCGGGTCCAGCAGAAAAATTACTCCACCTTTTTAAATTTGGTCCGAGACTGGTTGGACATACAGAACAAAGGCGCTTTCACCTGGACCTCTGAACTGTCATGAACAAACTTCGCTGTATATGGAGCTCCAGGAGAAGTTGGAGTGTTATACACAGAACGTAGGAGTCTTGCCGCCATACGAAGGCTTCGGTGCCACTTTGGTGACAAGGAACTTAATGAGAATCGTGGAAGATGAGATGCTTTCTCTGCCTCATGCTGCAGAAGTCAGAGTTCCGTCATATGTGAGGATAGAAAAGACGATATGTATGACCAATCCATGACAGTCAGGTAAAAGCCTACGCTACTAGTAGTAAGTAGTACATACATTTGTAAACAAAACAAAATCCACAGTTTGCGTCAAAGTCCCGTAACTCTAATCGAATGACACTCCAGCCTGAGGTTCTTTTATCTACTTTAGAATCCATTGTGCATGCAGTGTCCACACGTTGGAGATGAAATTGGAGCTATTTTTACCCGGGCGCTGTTCAAGCTTGTACAACTCCTCGAACCAAACTGAGTAGGATTTCGAGTAGAGCACATTTGATGTCATTGCACAGCGATGATACTTAGTGTAAAGCATGACACAGTAGTTTAATGGTGGATCTTGCCAGCAGCATGCAATAAGAAAATGAGGTTGCAAAAGTTGACCTTATATCCCCGAAAAAGAGCCTCACGCACATCGGGGTCACCGGCGTCACTACAAGCTCATACAGAACTGCGCGAAACAGGCTTCCAACCACGATGTGCGTGAAACTAATACATGCAGTTACTGACACCACCCAGGCGCCAACTTTTTGATTGTAGACAGTTGACGGCTCGAACAACGTTCACACGATATTTAGCTTCACTCGCTGAAGAATGAGTCTCGATTGTCAATCGTCGGCGTTCTCTGGGGGTTATTTTAAAAATTGAGGACTTGTCTTTCTCCACCCTATAAGGAAAGGGTCAAAGCTACTTATACCGATTTCCTTGGCAGCTGCACGTATGAAGGGGTAGGCACCAGAAGGGGGTTTATTGGGGGGACCGGGTAAATGCATTATTACTGCCAACAAGGGTTTATCGGTATCATAAATAACAGTCTGTCGATGGAATCAATGGTTTGGAA